ACCTTGCCAAATACAGTCACTAAGAATTGGACTTGATTTGATGGGACCTAGCAGCAGTATGGAATCCTGTTGTGGCATTTTAGGATAAGCACTGGACTGCAAGATCAGTTTGAACCTCAAGTTCAGTGGTTCAAATCCACCACTCGTTCCTCAGAAACCCTCTACAGGGTCACGATGAGTCAGAACTGACTCAATGACACTTAACAATATCAATAATCTGTGTACATCTTTTCTTGCATTTATCTTCTGCTGTCTGGTGGTTTAATAGCTGTTGGTGACTGCTTCCTTGGTTATTCTCCTTGACTTGTGTGGTCACCAGCAGCATTGGACCAAGGCCTTCCCTGAGGGGCAACACAGGCCAAGAACCCCTATGCTGTGCCCTCTTTAATCTCAAGGATCAGGATGAGAGATTGTGTGATTCTGACCCAAAATTGTCCTGCTTCTGTTAACAACAATTGTTCTCATTTGTCCTAGGGGCAACTATGAGGAAATGATTCTACTGCTACAGTCCAGGTAGAAAAACATGTTCTAGCCCGAATCTGTAGAACACAGAGTATACTTAAAAATGACAAAAAGACAATTACACAAAGTCTTAATTATTTAATCTGTGATTGCTTACCTGTTGATAAAACATACTTCTTTAGTAGTTGATAAATTGCTAAAGAAATATAAAAAAACCTATATGAATCACAAAATTAGACAACCTGTGCAGAATATTTATATACAAACTATCAGTGCAGTTGTTGTTAGGTGTCGTCTAGTCAGGTCTGACTCACAGCAACCGTATATAAATAAAACAGATCAACTAAAATTGATGACCGTCCAGGTTTGTACCATCTTCACAGTTGGTACGTTTGGCCCACTGCCGCTGCCACTCTGTCAATTCCTCTCATGGGGGGAAGGGCGCGGGGATCTTCCTGTTTTTGCTGACCTTTCACTTTACCAAGCATGATGTCCTTCTCCAGGAACGGGTCCCTCCTGAGAACAAGTCCAAAGTATAACAAAACCTCACCATCCTGGCTGTACGTCTTCCAACAGAAATCTGTTTGCTCTTCTGGCAGCTCGTGGTACTTTAATATTCTTCTCTAACAGCATAATTCAAATGCATCGATTCTTCTGTGATCTTCCTTATTCACTGTCCAGCAATCACATGCATATGAAGCGACTGAAATACCATGGCTTGGGCTTGAGTCAGCCATATCTTATAAAAAGACGAAAATTTATGAAACTAAAACTAAAGAAAGAATCAGCTAAACAGAAATTAGTGAAACTTATAGGAACCTGCAAAGGAGTTCTGGTAGCTTAGTAGTTAAGAGTCGGACTGCTAACCTCAAGGTCAGCAGTTGGAAGCTACCAGCTGTTCCATGGGAGAAAGATGAGGCTTTCTGCTCCCATAAGGATTTACAGCCTCGGAAACTCTATGCAGGGTCCCTGTGAGTCGGAACCGATTCCACAGCACACCGCCACCACCAGTATGCAGATGACACAACTTTGCTTGCTGGAAGTGAAGAGAACTTGAAGATCCAAGACTATAATTTTTAGTCTGGATTGCACCTCAATGTAAAGAAAATGAAAATCCTCATAACTAGACCAAGAAAATAACATCACGATGAAAAGACAAAAGACTGAAGTTGTCAAAGACTTCATTTTGCTTGAATCCAAAACCAGTGCTCATGGAAGCAGTTAATCAATCCAAGGACGTATTGCATGAGGCACATCTGCTGCCCAGACCCTTATTAAAGAGCTCAAGAGCAGACAGGTCAGTTGGAGGGCTGGGCCCACCTGATCTAATCCATGATATTTTCAATAGACTCAGATGCCTATGAAAGTTGGACAATGAATAAGGAAGACTTAAAGAATCGATGCATTTGAGTGACGGTTTTGGAGAAGAATATGGAAAGTACTGTGGTCTGACAGAAGAACAAACAAATCTGTCTTGGAAGAAAACCAGGTAGAATTCTCCTCAGAAGGGAGGATGCCACGACTTTGTCTCTTGTACTTTGGAATGTTGTCATGAAGGACTAGTCTCTGGAAAGGACACATGTGTGGTAAAGTGCAGGGTCAGTGAAAAAGAGGAAGACCCCCCAAGGCGATGGGCTGATACTGTGGCAGTAACAATGGGCGCCAACATCCCAACAACCGTGAGGGAGGTGCAGAACCAGACAGTGTTCCCTTCTGTTGTGCACAGGGTTGCTATGAGCTGGACCCGACCTGCCGGCACCTAACAATAACAGTAACAGAAATTCAAACACTGCGGTGTGGATACGGACCAACCCCTGCCATTAACTTGGTGGTAACCCTATAGGATAGAGGAGAACCACCTCATAGGCTTTGTGAGATTGTAAATCTTGATGGGAGCAGACAGCTTCATCATTCTTCTGTTGAGTGGGTGGTGGGCCTGAACCGCCAAACTTGTAGTTTGTAGTCCAGTGCTTATCCTACAGAACCACTGTGCTCCCCTGGATAAGCAGAAGGGGAAGAAATCTTGTATGGCAGCATATTGCTGTCTATCAGACACAGTCTAAATCTGCTTTGCTCCTGAAAGACAGGAGTACAGACGCCTGTCAGCACAGAAGTCTGCTTCATCGCACAGCCGCAGAGATCAGACAACTTTCAGCTTGCTGAGGAGTCTCAAAGACTAACATTGAAACTCTATGTGACATGTTTCACTAAAAAAAAATCCAGTCTGGCTTGTCTCTGGGATGAGAGCGAACTTTTGTAACTCCTTTCAACTACTGTTGGAATATTGATTTGCCTAAGAGAGAATCTCTAGTGGATCTAAATAAAATACAACATACACTGTAGTTCGTTTGGCACACTTTAACAGATGAAACTGTTAAAAGGAGCTCATTATAAAGTAGATGAAAGTGTAAGTAGATAGTCCACCGGTTTCAGATTAGGGCAAGGCCTGCTAGGCTCCAAACAACAGGAAGAAGACAGAAAAGGGCACTTCTGACAGATTTTTCACTTCAGGAAGGCTCACCAAAGCTTCATATACAAAATTAAAAGACAAACAAAAGAAGAGATGGAGAAAATATTTACGACAAATGTTAGCCATCAACGCAGACTCCGCACGCAGACACACTTACAGGGCAGCCTGGAGCCCCTCAAGCCACCTGACCTATTGCTCTTAGGGCCAGGCCTGAAGTGAGGTCAGTTTTTTACAGCCTTTCATATCACACAGCTTCCTCTTCTGCCCTGCTGCCCTCCTGCCTCCAGATCTCTCTCCTCTCCACTCCACACTGTCCCTCCTCTGGTCATTAGAGGCACCGTTCTAAAACAGCTCCACCCAGAGATGACAGAGGTGGCAGTGACGCCTGTTTCTTGCTGCTGCAGCCCCTTCTCTCCTGACAGGCCACCTTGTGAACCCCGCGGGCTGGCCTGGCCCCTCCGTCACACTGGTCGTTCTTCGTTGCCATGCTTCCTCTCTGTCACCCACTCCGTGTGTTCAAGGTGCCCAGTCCTTTCTGTATCCCGTTAGCAGCATTTGCCACATTGCTATTTTCACATACACATTAACCTGTACTGTAATTTACATGTATATGCTGAAGTTACTTAGTTGTGTTGATGTCTGTTCTGGCTCCCACCCACCTCTTCTCATAAAGGGGTGTCTTGATCCAACTTCATGGCCCTAGGATGGCCCACAGGAGGTAATCACTAAGCGTCACTAAGCAGGAGACTGTGGAATCAGGTTGAAGGGATTATATAACTAAGAGTGGGGAAATTAACGTAGAACCTTATAAGGGCACTTTTTAGAAAACGGAAAAACTTTCAAGCACATAGGCCAGTTCATCGCACACGTATCTAAGCCATTTTCTACAGTCCGTTGTAATGAATGAATACGATTTGTAAACGAATCTTCTCCTTTACGGAGTCCTGGTGAAGTGCAGTAGGATAAGCACTGAACCTCGAGGTCAGAACCGACCAGCCGCTCCTAGGAAACCCTATACAGGGGCGTTGTGGGTCGGGACTGACTCGATGGCACATAACAACAACATTTCCTTTAAAGGTTTTTTGTTTTTTTCTCATCTGAGCAGAGAATGCATGCTTTCTAAAATTTGTTTCACATTATGATTTTTATCTGGCAAAAATTATGCTCACAAATTACGAGAATTAATAGACATCCTAAATTTGCCAAGAACAGATTCTTGTTGTTGTTAAGTGTCGTCGAGTTGGTTCCAACTCATAGCGATCCTATATAGGGTTTCTGAGGAGCAATTGGTGAGCTTGAACCACTGACCTTGAGGTTCAAACCGACCTTGCAGTCCAGCACACTGACCCGCAGTTAACCAGGTCTCCAAGAGCAGCTGAAGGACGATGTAATGGTCTTGCTACCACTTCTGGTAATTACGTAATGAAACATGTTAAATAAAATAACAAACTGACATTCCTTTGTAAGAGTGGAGGAATTTGTTAAATCCTCGTTGTTGTTGTTAAATGCCATCAAGTCAGCTCTGACTCACAGCAACTTCGTATAGGGTTTCCAAGGAGCAGCTAGGGGGTTTGAACTGCCGACTTTGTGGTTCTTGGTCCAGTGCTGATGCTACAATACCATACCAGGAGCTGTGTTAAAGCCTACTGCTGCTTTATTCCACGGCTCTAGCTTACAGTTCAGTAGCAGCCAGTCTCGATACTATTACTGTGAACCTCTTCTGTCTGAATGACTTAGAGAGAGACGTTCCAATTCCATCTCCAGGTGTCACAGGAATGACCAGCTGCTTAGCATCTGACCTATGGCTGGTACTTGACAGTTTCAAAAGGGCTATTTCTGTCCTGAAGAAGACAGCAGTCAGCTACACAAACAGGAAGCACACACACATACAATGATAAGAAACAATTCAGGATCACATTCAGTTATCAGTGTGAAATTGTATGACACACCAGTTGCCATAGAGGCTGTATGCGGGTCCAGAAAGCACTTGGTTTGAACTTAAAAGTGTCGGGAAGGTTTGGCCTATCGAAAAGCAATGGGGACGCACCGGGCTGGTAAAACATCCTACCTGAGATTTTCTCCATCTCTTCCAGTAGTTTTTCCAAGTCCTTATTCAGGTCTGACAGCATTTTCAACATGTTGTCATAGTTTCTGTCTCCAGGGTCAGAATCAGCCATCTGCTGATGCACACAAAGAAGACAGATCTGGGTTTCATCTCTGGCACCACCACGAGCAGCTGTGGTGCTTCAAATGCATTCTTCCCATCTCCAAGTTTGGAAAATACCACTCACCCTGCAGGGCTGATGTGGGATTAATGCGACGGTGTGTGCATGTACGTGTGTATATAGATGTGCACATTTACACACACATGCACTATAGCCATATATGTGTGCATACGTGGATACATGTTTGTGTGCATGTGTATACATGTGCGCACACGTTCATATGCATGTGCACACACATATTCATGTGTGTGCCTGTATTTATGCGTGCAGTATGGGTATGCATCTGTGAATGCATACATGTTTGTGTGCATGCGTATATACATGCACATGCATTTACATGCATACATTCATGTGTGCACGTCAATGTGTGCAAGTGCATGCATGTACATGTTTGTGTGCATGTGTATACAGATGCGCGCACATTTACACTCATGTGCACACATATTCACATGTGTGCATGCCTGTATTTATGTATGCATACATTTGTGCGTACATGTTTGCCTATGTATACGTGTGTATACTGTGCTGTGTGTAAAGGATCCAGCACAGAGTTTGGTCAACATTAGCGCTCCCTCCCCTCTCCTCTCCCTTTAAGCACAAACATGTCTTCAAACACCACTGAGGGTTGGAACATAAAAGAGGAAAGCATTGTCATTGGGTCTTAAAGGAAAAGGTCTTTGTTGTGCATGGTAACATACAGTGGAATTCAATGTGGCAGAAACATACTGCATCCACACGAAATGTAGTTGACGTTTTATGACAAGACACAATAAGGAATGTACAGTGTATAATGGGAGTGAGTCCCACAGCCCCACACAAGCCAGACTAAGACAAATGCCATAAAGGATACAAACACATTATAACAAATACACATGCAAAGCTATGGGAGGAGGGTAAGTTTAATCTGAAAATATGATTCACAAATTTGCTGATATTTTGTTTGAATTTTGGAGAGTCTGTGCAAGGTTATATTTAAAAAAAAAAAAAAAATTTCAACAACCTCCAGGAGGTCACTCTTGGACACCAGGGAAGATAGCACAACCCTAGGCAGAACCCTAGAGTGGCCTTTCACACCTTTCTTGGCCTCTTCTTCCAGACACAGTAGGCTTCTAAGATTCATCACCTAAGGGTCAGGGAGACCTAGCATGTGAGACATCATAAATTCAACCTATCCCAGCTCCTCAGATATATTGATCATTACTGGTGATTGGAATGCAAAGGTTGGGAGCAAAGAGGAAGGATCAGTAGTTAGAAAATATGGCCTTGGTGATAGAAATGATGCTAGAGAACGCATGATAGAATTCTGCAAAACCAATGATTTGTTCATTTCAAATACCTTCTTTAGACAGCA